AAATAGACATAGTTCCCTGTGATAAGTCATCAGCGACTGAGCCAAGTGGATGGGAGAAAGTGGGCGGATGAGGCGGATGAGGCGGGTCAGCTGGGCCAGACAGTTGTCATTAATTCTGGTCAACAAGGACTCGGAGACGGATTTCTTGAGCTGACCACTGGCACAGCGGCATTTTCATGACAATTTAACACAAAAAACTCATCTGACCGTTCTTTTCCACACTGAGCAAAATGTAGGGGTGTGTAAAGTAGAGTAATTTTTATAATTTTTAGCTGTTTAAAGCCTTATACTTACATAAATCATAGCTCGTTAAGTAACCATCATTTGTATAAAGAAAAACTTTGTTTGCAAGGCTTTAAGTTTCCAATATCAGTCATAAGCAAAACTAAAAGATTGTAAGCTAAGCATATTACTTCTCACTTAAATTCTTATTTTTAGATGCCCCATAAATTTTGATATATATTTTCTGTTTGCCTTAACTCTATGGAGAACCCTTATGAGAATTTAAGTCATACTTATTTTACTCTAAGTATTTTTCTGAGCTACTGACTTTTGAAACGGTTTCTAACTAACTAACTTGGTAAATATATTTCAGCTCTTATACGAATTTTTGCAAGTGCCCTGTACAACATTATTGGATTGGGGGAATGGCGACAGCCAAAACACACAATCCGAGTGGCAGTGGAAGCGTAATCGATGCGGCTCACATTAGATGGTTGCCCCGGAGAGGGCCAAACTCAGCTGAAGTGAGCCGGATGGAATCCATGGCCAGCCACCAGCATTTCAAGTGCTCCCCAACTGACCTCTTGGGGAGCTGCTCCTTTCGCTGCCGCTGCTGCTTTTTATCCCAAGCTGCTGCTTCGTTTATCATTTGTTGTTCACTTGTCGAAATTTTATTGCTGCAATCTTGTTTGTCGTCGTCGTCTCGTCCTTTTCCTTTTCCTCGTCAAAGGAGAGCGAACGCTGGGGGACATTTCAAATGCCTTCCTAAGGATACTTGTACTCACATACAGCTTAACTCAGAATATTAGCATTAAGGATTCTAAATAATATATTTAAAGGTTGATCAAAGTTATTATTAAAGATTCTCTAGAACTACAAATCCTAAAGCTACAAATTTATAAGACTCGCTTCAAAGCAATAACATTTTTACTTTAAATACAAATTAATTAACTTACATTAGTTTAATTAAGCAAATGAGAGTTTATTTTTTGGTGTAGTGTGATGTATTCCTGATTAAGAATATTACACTCAACATGTTAAAGTGTTAATTATGTGTTTCGTTGTTTATGTCTATTTTCTGTTTTCTTGTCTATTATTTTTTATCTCGATTTCTGGGTAACTGATTCTTGGTCATAAGAAAATATCAGTTTTGCTAGACCTCGACAAAGTCTTGAAAGAGTTGGTAATGTTTTAGACCTTATCAAAAAACCACACCTTAAAAATTTATTTTACCTTTTATACTTCATGAAGGATCTTGAACAGAGCCAAAAAGCTAATCCTAAGAATCTGTCGTGAAATTGATTTTATATTTGCATTGTTAATAATCAATTGTTTATAATTATAAAATTGTTAATTTTTTAGTAACTATTCAACTTAGGGTACAATATGGTGACAGAATCTTAAGATTTTTATAAAAGCCATCTTGTCTGCTATTATTTTTACCCCAACTGTGTTTATTTTCACTTGGGCCAGAGGCGTAGTAGCCTTCTGATGAATATTCGGATCCTTTTACTCCTTGCTCCCCTTCTACGCAACTGGTTGAACAAGCAGGAGTTTCCTTCTTTCCAAAAGGACTGGACATTGTTGTTCAGGCTGTCGTTGTCGCAGCCGGATATGCGTCTAATAAGCGTGTGTGTCGGGTGAGCGCATTACGTATACGTAATATACATTTATATATAAGTGTATTACATACGTCTCTGCCAGCAATTTAAAGTGCGACCTTTTTTTCGGTTTGCTTTAAAACTGGTGCTCAACCAACAATGAGAGCAAATATTTCAAGAAAATTAGTTTCCTTTGTTCCTCCTGAGAGACAGAGACAAAAGAAGCGAATTTTCCCGCAATCAGCGAAAGGAGCAGCCATAAAAACGCTCAGCAGTGCTGAGTAAACAAAACGAATGGCGAAGGAAAATCAATAAAATGCAGTTAATATAGGGATTAAATAAATGAAAAATTCCCCTGGCTAAGTGTTCACCCACACTTTAAGAGAAAATCTATTTTCAGCTCGGCATTTATGGCCCAGACACGCACAGTGGCCCACAAAAGTCACTGCCACTGGGCGGAAGCAACTACTACACACTACATGTGTCAGCATGAAAGGCAAAGGCAATGAATTGTTTTTATGTGCTAGTGTCCGGCAGGAGTCTGCTCCGGACTCCCAAATCCGGTTTGCTTTGCATGCCCGACACGTAAGGCGATTTGATTTCAATTTTGCCAGATTCAAGCAACTTGCCACTGTCATCTGCTCGCCCCCGAATGAGTTGGCGACTTTGGCACACCACTGCGTATGGTTAATATGATTTGGGGCCGACCATCAGATAATTCCCATAAACTGGGAATTTCACCCACTCCATTCGCTGAGAGGAACCGTAAACAATTTCTGATCGATGGCTCTAATAAGAATCAAATAATTCGATTATGGCGATTTCGTTTAGCCGGTTTTCCCCGCTAAATATACACTTTCTAGCAGTGCAAAAGTCAGCCAAAGTCGTCCGTTTTGGGCCACAAAAGCACGGTCATCATTTAGCCAAATCTATGCTTATCACTTATCACTTATCACTCGAGTGCGCGACGTCTGCCGCCTGTTCGCCTGTGAAGTGCGTTTAATTGAAAGCCTGCTGTGTGTAATCTCCGCGGTTTCCCACTACTCCGATAACAGCAGATACTTTTTTTTTGGATTCGGTCAATCAGAGCCGATAAGTAGCACTACATCCTCTCGGGCTGAAAATAAAAAACTAAACTAAAAAAAACTCGACTGATAAGAAGTTTCACGCGCATAAACAGAAATGACTTGGTCGGAATACAAGAGGCCCGGCCGCCGATAACCAGGCCCAATGGACTGGTATATAAGTGGCGTTGTGTCCGGTGGAGAAGCATTCGTTCTTCGACCACCATGAAAGTGCTTGTTGTCTTCGCTTTGGCTTTGGCCACCGCCTCCGCCGGTCTGCTGCCCCAGCAGCGTCCAGTTCACCCCCGTGACCTGCCCGCCGTGCCCTCCATCCAGGGCCGCATCACCAACGGCCTGACCGCCTCCGAGGGCGAGTTCCCCTACCAGGTGGGACTCAGCTTCGCCAGCTCCAGCGGCAGCTGGTGGTGCGGTGGCTCCATCATCGGAAACGAGTGGGTGCTGACCGCTGCCCACTGTACCGATGGGTAAGTAGTTCCCCATTTTTTAGGGTACAAATTTGTTTACTTTTTAAAACTTCAAAGTAAGCTGCTCAAAAAACCGAAGGATCTGATATAATAATTTACGAATAGTTTGATTTAGGTTTTTAAAGTATTTTATAAAAATCCTTCTGAAAAAGTAAAGAAAATGCAACCAAAATTGAAAATACTCGGTATGTTCTTCAATTTAATCATATTATTGCTAGCGTGCAGTTGCTTAATTAATTAATTTTATTTTTTATTATTGACAAGACTATGTTGTAAATTTAGAAGAAACTCTTCTAAAAGCATTTTGTTTTCAAAAAGAGTGGAAAATACAATCAGTTTAATGAGTTATTTGCTTTGTAATCATGATAATAATCCTGATAAGGATTTCGCTCACTATAAAAATAATCCCCTGACTCATGGCTATCTCTCTGATGCAGTGCCTCCGCCGTGACCATCTACTACGGCGCCACCGTCCGCACTCAGGCCAAGCTTACCCAGACCGTCGCCAGCTCGAACTTCAAGCAGCACACCAGCTACAACTCCGTGGTGCTGAGGAACGACATCTCGCTGATCAAGACCCCGTCGGTGGTGTTCACCACCTACATCAGGAACGTTGAGCTGCCCGCCATCGCCAGCAGCTACTCGACCTACTCCGGCCAGAAGGCCATCGCCTCCGGATGGGGCAAGACCTCCGACGCCGCCTCCTCCGTGTCCAACTCCCTGCAGTACGAGACCTTCGAGGTGGTGTCCGTGGCCACCTGCCAGAGCACCTACGGCTCTCTGATCGCCACCTCCAAGGTGATCTGCATCGCCACCCCCAACAAGACCTCCACCTGCAACGGCGACTCCGGCGGCCCCCTGGTCCTGGCCAGCTCCAAGATCCTCATCGGCGTCACCTCCTTCGTGTCCAGCGCTGGCTGCGAGTCCGGTGCCCCGGCTGGCTTCACCCGTGTGACCAGCTACTTGGACTGGATCAAGGAGAACTCCGGCATCTAAGGCAATGCACTCTTCAAATAAATACGACTATTGATTTAAACAAAGAATTTCGATTTTTTGGGAATATTTAGGCTGCATATTCATACTTCTCCAGAAAAATATCTTATTTTTCCTGAAGTATAGATAATTCCTCAGTCTTAGATTAAAATAGAGAAACTGGATTTTCTTAACTTTTTTAAATGCTTTTCAGCCTAAATTTATTCCATGAATGTATTATCACAAAATCAAAGAATTTTTATTGTACAAGGTTTAGTAAGCTCGCGATGGACCAAATTCGTTGTATTTCTTTGTCTTTTTTTATATGCGCCGCTTTAACTTTTTAAGGATTGTCCTAAAGAACCGTTTAAGCTGCATTTTATAATAACTTTGATATAATTCAGAAAAAAATAATATTTATATATATCGATTTGCGGTGGTTGAGGACTTCTCGGCTTTCTGACCAAATTGGGACTCATTAGAACACTCTCTTTAATTTTTTGTCAGTGCCGTCTACTATGGCTTTAAATATCTGGGTATTGCCACATAAAGATAAATTCACAATAATTAAAATACGATTTCTACTAAGATCCAATTAGACCCAAAAGTTAGTAGTTTTGTAGAAACATTATAAATTCATTTTTTTTAGCATACTTTTCAGCTTTTCAAAATTATAATAATCTACCCGTTTCTTTATTCTTAAGATCATAAATTATAAACTTATTTGGCAAACGACTCTCGAACGTTGAACGATTAGAAGGTAAGAACTTATCAAGATACATTTTAAATCGCTTTAATCGCAATAACATGATTCAGACATCGAAGCGTCGTATCGCCAGCTGATAAAATGTCCTGAACCCGAACAAACCTAACGATAAAATTTATAGCTCCCATTAAATTCGTTGTACAGAAGAAAGAACTCAAAATGGGTATATAAAGACTGAAGAATATTGCAGAGAGACATAAGTGACATGTTTGAAATGAAAGTGTTCGTAGTTCTCCTCCTGGCTCTGGCCTCCGTCTCCGCCGGCGTTCTGCCCAAGGGAACTCCAGTGCATCCCCGAGATCGAGTGCGCAGTCTCTCCATCCAAAATCGTATCATCAACGGGAGGGATGCCGTCGACGGCGAGGTTCCTTACCAGGTGGGAATGGCCTTCTTCGACGACAGCGGCAGTGGCTGGTGGTGCGGTGGCTCCTTCATCGACAAGGAACATGTGCTGACTGCTGCCCATTGCACCATCGGGTGGGTAACCGAACGGGGGGAAACTTCATCAAAAATAGAAAATGAATGTACTTTAAGAGATACATTTTAAAATCCCACTTCATACTTTCTTTTTCTATAAATGGTTTCTATCATGGTTCACCCAGAAATCTCAAAAAATTTTTGGAAGTTAAATTCTTAACTTAGACAACTAGACTTAAACTTGGACAACTTGGAGAAGTGATATAAAATAATTTAAATATAATTGTTAATACTTCTAAAAGCCAATTTTTGGTCAGACTTTAAGAACCACTAATTCAAAGCATTTTCAAAAATCAAGCATTCTGCGATTACTGAAAAAAATGTCTACGTGATTTCATATCTTAAAGAAAAGAAATAAAGGCTATACATGTACCATGTGCAATAGTAAAACAATTTAAGTATTTCCTCGCTTAGTGTATCGAAATATTTATTCGATCTTCCCAAGTTAGATATATCCTTTTTAATCCTTAAAGGAGTTTCTAGGACACAGGGAACTGACTTTCGATCGGAAATTCCTCGAATCTAATTTTAAACTCTGTAAATTCCTTCCTGCACAGTGCGTCCTTTGTTTTCATCTATGAGGGCTCCGCCAAACTCGGCTCTGCCACTATTATCGTGGTCGATGGCAGCGAGCTTACGACGCACGAAAGCTACAACCCGTACAATCTGCGCAATGACATCGCGTTAGTCAGGACCCCCGTCCACCACTTTACGGAGTTGATCAACAAAATCGCACTTCCGAAGAAAGCCAGCAACTGCGATGCCCACGAGGGCAAGACCGCCCAAATCTCAGGATTCGGCCTGATCTCCGATAGCTCCACCTCAATCCATGAAACGCTACAGATCGCCAAGGCGCCCATAATCCCGAACATTGAGTGCTCAAATTACTATGGAACCTCGGTGGTGACCGAGAGGAACGTCTGCATCAACACCGAAAAGGGGTCTTCCACCTGCAGAGGCGACTCCGGCGGTCCGCTGGTCGTGAATGGCGTCCAAGTCGGCATCACCTCCTTCGGGTCGATTTTCGGCTGCGAAGTTGGGGCTCCAACCGGCTTCACCTGCGTGTCCTACTTCCTGGACTGGATCCGGAAGCATACCAAGGCTGAGCACGAGTAAGGGTACCATTTTAATTCGAAAATAAAGCATTGCCAAAAATCAATCCTTCTGTTATTATTCTTCTAAAAATAAAATGTTGTAAATTGGCTGAGAAAGAAGAGAAATGCCTTTTATAGCAAAGAAATATAATTTAGCTACTTCTTCGAGTCGCTCAATATTACTGAAACACCACGGATAGCCTTTAAAAATAATTTAATAAATATTACACAAAATAAAACAGAAAAAAATCATTTATTTCGTCGAAGTATTTTTTTATTCTTTTAAAGTAGATAAATTCTAAGAAAACAAATAGTTTTAATAATGTGTATCATAGATATTTGTATATCTTGGGTATTACTGGGACTCCATTAAAACAGTTAGTTAAATTTTTAAAAATTATCATTAAAATTAATCAGTAAGTCAATAATTATAATACTTGCTCGATAAGAATGGTTGAACTCTTTGTTTTGAAGATAAGATGTTGGATTCGATTATTTCTCAGCCTAATCAAATGTTTTTAAATCATCGCTAAAATACGACTGCATTGACCAAAGCGAAGGAGTTTGTAAATTTTGGACTTAACTGATTGCGAATATATGGTAATAAAAGATACAAACGCCTATATAAGGCAGTGCTTCAACTTGAATTATTTCAAGTGAGAACAGTGTTCGCACCATGAGAGTCCTAGGAGTTCTGTTAATCTCGGTGTTTGCCTTGTCGGCGGCTCTGGAAAGCCCCGTTCCCGTAAAGGATATGCCCGTGGGCAGGAAGATAAGCGGACGCATCACCAATGGATATCCTGCGTACGAGGGAAAGGTTCCCTACATCGTGACCCTGCGCTTCGATAATGGCAGTGGAGGAGCCTGGATCTGCGGCGGTTCCATCATTGGCCACGAGTGGGTCCTAACCGCCGCCCATTGCACCAACGGAGCCAGCTCCGTGACCATCGGCTACGGCGGAGTGTGGCGCAACCAGCCGCAGTTCACCCACGTTTCCTCGGACTTCGTGCAGCACGAGGCCTACAACACCGGCACTCTTCACAACGACATCGCCCTGATCCGCACTCCCCACGTGGACTTCTGGTCGCTGGTCGACAAGGTGGAGCTGCCCCGGCTCGAGGATCGCTACAACAACTACTACGGCTGGTGGGGCCTGCTTTCGGGATGGGGCAGCACCTCCGATTCCAGCGGAGTGACCGATTACCTCAACTGCGTGGACATCCAGATAGCCGACAATTCCATTTGCGAAGAGCACTACGGCACCACGTTCATCACCCCCAACCACGTGTGCATCGCCACACCGGAGAACAAGGGCTCCTGCAGCGGAGACTCCGGCGGACCGCTGGTCCTCCACGACGGCAATCGCCAGGTGGCCATCGTCTCGTTCGGATCCGCTCTAGGTTGTCTGTCCAACAGCCCCAAGGGAATGACGCGAGTGACCAGCTACTTGGACTGGATCCGTGACCATACGGGCATTTCCTACTAATGACTCGAGAATGTATGAAATAAAATAACAACTGATGAAGAATTTATTCAAATGACTCTGGTCTACTTTAATTTATACGGCATCTACTGGCAGAAAATGAGATATTTTCAATTTATTTAACCTATTAACAAATTCTGATTTAAAATTTTCTCATCCTACTTGTAATACCGCACTAAAATAAATTGTATAATATAATAAATAATATAAAAGAAAAAAAGCTTGATAAAATCATAACTGATTCCTTACAATATAAAGCGAAAAAGGTATTAATTAACACATACTTAAAAAAAAATTTGGAAATTGTTAATGGCTAATTAATTTTAAATATTAGAAGCAAAATCAAAAATTGTTAAATTAATACGCGTTTCATAAATTATAATATATAAATGATAGGTAATGCCCAAGACAAATTTTTTTGCGAAAGAACGTTTTTTTTTTAATATTTCATGATAGCATGACAGATTCAGTAGTTTATTCACCTTTTTATATAATTAAAAAGGATATTGTCCCTGGAAAGTTCTCCGAAGTTAGTTTCGGAAACTACTAAACTACTAAAAAGTCAGAAAAAGAACACATTTTGTTACATATTCAATTCACAAAAGTTTATTAAGAAACTTGTTAGTAAGAGATGCCAGTGTGGTCGCGAATCCAGTCCAGGTAGCTGGTGACGCGCACCATTCCCTTGGGACCGTTGGACAAGCAGCCGGCGGAGGAGCCGAAGGACACGATGCCCACCTGGCGGTTGCCGTCGTGGAGGACCAGTGGGCCGCCGGAGTCGCCGCTGCAGGTGCCCTTGTTTTCGGGCGTGGGGATGCAGATGAGGTCGCCGGAGAAGCTGCCGTAGTAGTTCTCGCACACGGAGTTCTCGCCGATCTGGACGTCCACGCAGTTCAGGTACTCGGAGACGCCGACGTCGTCCGAGGTCTTGCCCCATCCGGAAACGAGGGCCCACCAGCCCTGGTAGTTGTTGTAGCGATCGTTGTAGCTGGGCAGCTCCACCTTGTTCACCAGCGACCAGAAGTCGACGTGGGGGGTGCGGATGAGGGAGATGTCACCGGATCCGTGCTCGATGAAGTCGCCGCTTCCCACCCAGTGGGTGTACTGGGCCTGCAGGCGCCACAGAGCTCCGTAGTAGATGGTCACGGACTCCATGCCGTCGGTGCAGTGCTTGGCGGTCATCACCCAGTTGTTGCCGATGATCGAGCCGCCGCACCAGGTGCCGCCGCCGTTCCGGCTGAAGCCCAGGCCCACGATGTAGGGCACCTTGCCCTCAGAAGCGGGATAACCCATGGTGATGCGACCCTCGATCGAGGCCTTGCCCACGGGCACGTCCTTCCAGAACACCGGCTTCTCGAACGCCGAGACGGCGGCCGAGGCGGAGGCAATTACACCCAAGAGCACGATAGCAAGCACTTTCATTTTCGTCAAGTTTGGCGAACTTAATGAATCAAGGCAAACAGTGGCGGTTGTTTTATACCTTTCGACCTAACCGGAAACGCGAGAATCGCTGAAACCATAATTTACAACTTGCAGATAGGAACACGAAAAACAAAGTGTGCGGACTTGAGGCAACTCAACGAAATCTTGGCAAAATAAATTGACATATTCGATAAGATAACTCCTGAGGAAAGCTGGTGAAGAGTGGATTTATTATGAAAATAAAATGGTACTTAAGTGCCTAAAATATGAAAATGTTAAAATATGACCCAAAACTGCTTTGGCAAATAATTTTTATTATTTAAATCTTTTTTTAGTACATTTATATTGCCATTTAAAATGCAGATTTGAAATTAATTGAAAAGTAACGATGGCTGTCATTTTTAAACTTAACGGCCGTTTTTAACACCAACCAGTGCTGCCACCCTGTTTATTAGCAAGTACTTCAACCAGCGCCAGCGTTGCCACATTCACTTTGCTCGCTCGAGTGTGACCAACCTCATTCAAGGTGATTACGGTATTCTGTTTGGGAAAAGCGGCGAGCACATTAATGCCCCCAAGCTGTTTATTTTGTCAAAACTTAACAATTATTTCTACTCTTTTATAAAAAAAAGAACGGAAATTAATAAGTAGAATAAAAAGTACACGTTGTTATTATCGTATCAGACAAATCACCATTTGCCAGCTTGGGATTAATCCAGAGCAAACTTGTCGCCGATAAATTACCCCCCGGATTGAAAAAGATCCGCTTTTCATACAGACGCCCAGAGAAAAAAGGAATAAAACAAGGGAATGCACTATTGTCCCAGGTAAATAAACTATATAAATGTCATTTAACTGCTGTTACGCCCCATCTCTGGTTGCGCCAAAAGAAAACCTCAAAATAAACTAGGATCATGTGATTGGGAGTTAACACCCATAAGTTTCAAAGTAATCTTTCCGAACTGCTTCCCTTTGTATTTACAGGTATGATTACTAGAGTCGAACGGTAAAAATAATGGATAACATTGTCTACGACTTTGCCAAGATCACGTTTCAGCCAAAGGAAGTGGTATTTACCGGGAATCAGTAAGTGTACAGAACCAATTTGTTTGAAACTACCCCTAATACCCAAATTTAAGGTCGTCTGGCTCAAATCTATCGTGGCGACTGAAGGACATGGCCATGTCGGACATAGAGGAGATGCGGGATGCATCCGAATCAATACCACTCCCCGAATCCGATAATGTCAGCAGTGATTCCAACAACTCCGACGATGTGGACTCTCAATTGAGTCGCTGCGAGGATAATGACGATGACAGCGACTGCATCAGTGGATCCACCAGTCACAGCTCCAATTTCGGGGCTCGGGCGGGCGTGGCCCGACGCAGAATGCCCGCCAGGGTGTCCAAGGACAACTTCAACCGGGTCTGCAGCGCCATCATGAAGCCCATCAAGAAGAAGCAACGCAAGGATCTGAACACTAATGTCCAGACCCTCAAGAGCATCGAAAAGATTTACACCACCAAGCGGATGAAGAAGTTCACGCCCACCAATCTGGAGACCATATTCGAGGAGCCCAGCGATGAGAATGCCGCTGATGCGGAGGACGATAGCGAGGAGTGCTCCATCAGCAGCCAAGTGAGAATCGTCAAGTTTGGAGGCAGGAAGCTACGACGGGCCATATCCTTCAGCGATGGCCTGAACAAGAACAAGATCCTGTCGAAGAAACGCCGCCAGAAGGTGAAGAAGACCTTTGGCAAGCGCTTTGCGCTCAAGAAAATCTCCATGACCGAGTTCCACGATCGCCTGAACAAGAGCTTCGACAGTGCCATGCTGGAGGGCGATGAGGGCGAACCGCCGGGATCGGGCGAAACGCCCGAGATTCCCAAGACATCCATGACTATGGAGGACATACAGCTGCCGGCAATGAGCGGCCAACAGCACTTTCTCATGCAACCGGCTGGATTTGAGTAGAGGAGAGACTGAACGACCCATTCAATGCGCACCCACATTTATTCATTGCATTACAACTAGCTGATAGTGCCCAAAAACAAATGTACTGATACCAATTATGAAGCTAGGAATTACTTTCGTTTGGTTTACTTCATGCCGTAGTCCTAAGCCCCATCAAAGTTATATGTGTGTGTAAATAGCAAGTAGAGAAAAATAAACTAGAGCTATACCTAAAACTAAACTTATCCAGCCATAGAATACGATTCTGTGCCTAGCCATTAAGCGTACAATAAAAGTTGAAAAATACATATCCATTTACTGCCGTTTGAGAATTTTTGAACATTAAAGAAAGGAGGATCCTATAGTTTTTGCATTTTATTGAGTTAATTATTTATATATTTTTTGTACTGTTCTCGAATTAGATTTTAGCCTGAATTGTCTTTTTTAAAATGAACTATAGTCTACTCATTTGCAATTTTTTTATTTTATTAAATAAGAATTAGGAGGAACTTAAAATCATTGGTCAAATAAGTGAACGAAAACATATTCTCAATTATTATTAATTTTTTACCGTAGCATTTAAATTAAAATTACATATTTAAGGACAATAAATTCCTAACACGCCAGCATAAATATATCGTTAGATTTATATGTGGGTTGGTTTAAAACTTTTTATCAGTTACGCAAGTTTCTTGGATTGCAATTTAGATAAATATCTTTGACACAATTAAGAACATTTTTGTAAAATTCTTTTAATTTATATAGAGCTAACCTCTTAGATCCCCAAAATCCAAAATTCACTACCCTAAAAAAAGACGTTACGAAACGCAGTTTGAGGGCGGTAAATAGCGCGCTAACGAGGAACACCAAAATAAAGTAAATAAACCCAATTCGAATGCGAAACGGAAGCGAAACGCACAAAGGTGGCCAAAACACTAGACGGATTGTGCGAGCCGGGTGGCGCTCAAGCTCAATTAAATAACGGCCTCCGCGTGATTAGCAAGTGCAATAAAATGCAGTAACAAAAACGCGCCCATTATTAATGAGTGCAACATGCAACGGGCAACGATTATGCAGCTTTTATAGATATATATATATAGATAGATAGCTAGATATAGACGCACCACCGCACGATATCGAACTGCAGCACCACCTAAAAGGGGGAGGTGGGTGGTGGTGCGGCGGTGCGGCGGAGCATTTGCATAATCATGTTGTGCCTCGCTGTTGTTGCAGCCTCATTACATTTGGCTTCATTTCAATTCGATTTGATTCGATTCGAACATATCACATCGGCGAGCGCGAGACGATTTGGTTTATTTGCTTCGCCGGGCACACAGACCGCAGTAATTTCCTAAATCGACAACAATGGCCAGGTAACAGAAATACTTTCAACACCAAATAAAGCTGATTATCTCAGACAGCGGCAGGCGGTGCACGAATTAATTTAATTAAAAACACATACATATTTTATGCTGCATTTCATTTCCTGCTAAGAATTCTGCGCATGCCATCCATTGCTGCATGCAACGAAATGGAAAACTGTTAATTTGTTTACGAGCAGACAGGTGGGTTGTCCGACCCCAAGCCCTTCCCACAACCCACCCACATCTGCCTGGCAATAACCTTGAGGTCTGCAGACGGTACACAGTAGTCGGCTTAGTTTGAATGGCCAGACCCCATCAAAGTCATACTATCAAGTTGGAGAAGACACAACGCACAGTGAAGCTTTATGAAGTCGAACCCCTTTCAAACCAAAAATCAAAAGTTAAAGACTTTGATAAATATTCAAAAACGAATAACTATTGTCGTATGTTATAATAATTTTAATGTTGGGAATTTATCAGCCTTGTGTTTAAAAAAAAAAATTATCAACATATACGTCAACATGTTTCTTTACTATTTACGAAATTTTCGTAGTTTAATTTCTCACAAACAGAAAAACTGAATAGTGAGTGTATTTAAATAACTTCCAAACAATTTATTATTTTGTATTAAATTATATGGAAGGTTTTAATAGACAGTTACTATTTTATTTTCAAATAAAAAAGTAAAATGTGCAAAAAAAGAAACCACTATTTAAATGGATGAAGTACACATTTGTAGGAAAATTACAAATACTACTTAAACATTTTCTTTTTTATAGGTTGGGGCAGTATAACAATTAAATTTTTTATTTTACTGTTTTTTTATGTATATATAATCAAATATAATTATATAACAAACTCTTTAATTACCAAACAAAATTATCGGGAAAAATTATTGTTTGGGCAGAAAAATACTATTATTGATATTCGGATTTATATTTCTCGAACTTGTTCAAAGTAAAGATTGAGTACAGTTTTCTTAAAGAGGTTTAAAAATATAGCATTTCATTCGATTGGCAGCAGTAAGGTGAAACTGTTAAACAAATACAATCACGTTTTAGATAAAGGTAAAAACCACAGTTACAATTTTAGATTAAATAGTCAATGTTTAGTTTGGATTCTAAAAAAAAGAACGACTCAGTATGAGCTAAAGAGGTTTGTCTGTAAAATGATCAAATGGTATCCCAACTGAGTTTGAGGAAAAAAAAGAGTCGGCATGCAAATATAACTGTAACTACTTGTGTTATTGTTTTACTTACAGCAACCAGTGGAGCTTTTTTCTCAATGAAAGCCCCTAGCACAGCCACCAAAACACAAAAAAAACACTCTCGCCTCGCGAATGCATAATGAAGATGGAGTTAAAGCGAGAAGTGAGTGAGGAGGCGTGATGTAATAGCGCCAAAGCGGGCGGATAACTAGAGTTACAGCTTCGCATTCAATTTAAATGGCAAAACCACAAAACACTAGCTGCGAGATCCACATCCACGATGAAATTTAACCTATGCGGCACATATTTCTATTTCGCGAGCAAAACGAGGGAGCAGCGAGCGCGGCAAAGGGCGAATTCCGACTGAAAAGTGACGGTTCCTCAATAAAATGAAGAGCCATACATATATTAATGCAGAGGGATTGGCGATTGACGGGAGCATTCAAAAGGCAAATTAAGCCAAATTGATGCAACTGCAATTGTGCGCGGCCAATTGTGAGTGCAGCCAAATAGATAAAATAATTAAGGCGGCGAGCAGAAATGGCTGGCGAAAGAGTTTATAAAAATGCTGGCAAACAGCGCGCCGGCGCAGTGGTTAACGAGACGCGAAGAAAGCAGTACACACTGGCGACTGGAGATTACGACGCGAATTGCGATTACAGCTGAAGTTTGAAGTTGTTAAGTGTCCAGTAACCAGCGTAACGGCTTTTCGAAACGGGAAAACAAGTGACCAGTGGGTGAGCGAGTGGCAGGAGGCGAGGCGCGGAAGTGTGTTAAAGGAGGAAGCAGAGGAAGTCAATTTTTAAGGAAGTCCAGTGATATTCAGGAAAGCAGTTTAAGCTGTTAAGGAAGCAGGACAAGAACGGAGAAAGCAGTAAACCAGGACCATCCAGGAAAGCAGTTCATCGTGATACCAAGCAGATATATCCTGACATAAAGCAGTTTATAAAACGACTAAGCTGTTGGAATAGCAGTTTAATCAGCTTGACTTCTGTATAAAAAGGGAAGTTTCTAATAATACAAAGGATAATAGGACAAACATTAACTAACTTAAGAAAGCATTGCACACCTTAAATAAAGTTGATGGAAAAGTAAACCAGGCTGAAATGAATGAAGCCGATGAAACAGTGAAATCCGTCAAAGAACAAATAGGATACATTTAGCAGTTGAGTCCTGGCAGTAAGCAGCTCATTTAAAACCAAAGTAGCTAAGTTATTAAATAGGCAATGAGAGAAGGATTTAAAAAATTAAAAATAACAATTCAAGCAAAAAATATAAACAACAATAATAAGCAGACCTTTCTGCAAAATATACTGTTTAATCTATTAGGAAGAAAGCAAACTGACCAGAAAAAAATAGCCGCATTGAAAGCAGCTTGACAAAGATTAGCTTTAAAAATAAGCTTCAGCAAGTAAGACATGTTAACACATTTCTAAATGGTGTAAACCACTTTATTAATTAGACAAGAAAGTGGCTTATAGGAAGCAGTGTAAGACTCCTTGAGAAGTAATAACCAGGATTCCAAGCAGTTTTAGGTTCCACAAAAGCAGTCAAGCCCAGGAAGTAAGCAGTGTTAGAATCCACGGAATCAGCTAAACAGGAAACCATGCAACGGAAACACAGTTAGCAGTGAAAGCAGTCCAATCACTATTAGTGCAAAGTGCCAGCAATTGCACTAGCAATTAAAAATTAAATGCGTGCGCGAACAAAGCAACGCCAATGTCCAAACAATCTGCAAGTGCAAGTGCAAGTGGCACGGTGCTGCTGCTCACCTGGTCATGGCTGGTCATGATGCACTGCACCGCGCTGGACTGGCAGCAGGTCAAGCCGATGTACCTGGTGTCCATGTACCCGGGCCCAATGGGTCTGTCCACCTCCTCCTCCTCCTCGTCCTCCACGTCCCCCTTTTCCTCCTCCTCATCCTCCTCTGGTTCCCTGGAACACGATGCGGAAATGAGTGCCAGCAACTTGGACAGTCGCCACATGAAGGGGATGGGATTGGGTATGGAAGCGGGTGGGTTCAGCGAAGAGGACCTGGAGGATCGGGAACCACTCGTTCTCAATCTGGAGACGACCCCGTTACTGGAGAAGATGCTGCCCGAGGGTGCCATGGCCATGGATCGCATCTTTGGGGGCGACGTGGGCAATCCCCACTGTTTTCCCTACCAGGTGGGCATGCTGCTCCAAAGACCCAAGGGACTGTACTGGTGTGGCGGTTCACTGATCTCCGAGAAGCACGTTATCACCGCCGCCCACTGCGTTGACATGTACGAATGGTAAGAGTTCAGGTGGCGAACCAATCCTTTCATGGGTTTTTATTTTGCAGGGCCAAGAGGGCTCTGGTTTTCCTGGGCGCCAATGAGATCAAGAACGCCAAGGAGAAGGGACAGGTGCGACTAATGGTGCCCAGTGAGAACTTCCACATTTATCCCACGTGGAATCCAAGGAGATTGAAGGATGACATTGCCTTGGTCAGGCTGCCTCATGCCGTCAGCTTCAATGGTGAGTTGGGGGGGGTATACAAGAAGTGATTTTTAAAAAGAAGAATATTTATATGGGAGCAATGAAAAAATTGTAATAAATTCCTACAATTTGATATTCAATTTGACTTCATAAAATTTCTCAAACCCACTCATTAATAACTTTTTAAGTTGTATAAAATCATTTCAGAAACTTTAAAGTTAACATTATTTTTAGTAAAGCAATTTATAATATATTTCTGTTAAAACAACTACAAAATTATCCAACATTTTCTTATTCGGAGTTCCAAATAAAAAAAATGCATAAAATGTTGCTTTTGTTTACACGAAAATATAAATATTTTTCGACATATTTTAATATACTAATCGATATTTTGATAATCTGTTACTGCAACGCTAGCCAAAGTTATCTTCCTTTATCATTTACAGCTATGACTTTCTCTAATTTATTATTTGTTTTGATCGGACTATCTTAGCAATTCTTATATTCTGTGGCTATTTATTATAGTCTCCTTTCGCACACTCTGTGCTTATTAATCTTAATTATTTTTATTATTAACTAATAATACAATTATTTAAAGAAACTTCGTAACCACATTGGTGATATATAGCCTTTTGTGAATTCAACTTAACTTAGATAAAAATGTTGTTTGTTCTTGGATATACTTAATCGTTTTTAGTGGCAGAAAATAAGATTAGCACAAGCCGCTTTGTACGACGAAGATGGTTTAATGACCTTAAACACCTTTAAAAACACCTTTAACTTTGAAACGGAGTATCGGATTGCTATTATTTTGTAAATGGGCTTAGATCCAAATTTGAAGTGCTTAAAAACAGATTTCGATCAATACGTAAATTATTGTGATCAGACAATCGTCACCACGTGGACTGCTGTTCACTGTGATAAGACAATAGGTTGCAAAATAAATTCATCCATGAACAAGATTTGCAAAACTCTCAAAAATGATGGGGTCCCTAATTTCCAATTATAACGAAGATCGTATTTCAAATACCTATTCACCCAGGGACCTATAATTTCAGAACGCATCCATCCAATCCAGCTGCCGAAGAGGCACTACGAGTACCGAAGTTTCAAAAATAAACTGGCCATTGCTTCCGGCTGGGGTCGTTATGCGACTGGAGTCCATGCGATCAGCAATGTGCTGCGCTATGTCCAACTGCAGATAATCGATGGCCGGACATGCAAGTCAAACTTCCCACTGTCCTATCGTGGTACAAATATATGCACCAGTGGAAGGAACGCCCGCTCCACTTGCAATGGAGATTCGGGAGGACCCTTGGTTCTCCAAAGGCGGCATTCGAAGAAGAGAGTTCTGGTAGGCATCACCTCCTTTGGCAGCATCTACGGCTGCGATCGCGGCTATCCGGCGGCCTTCACCAAGGTCGCCTCCTATTTGGATTGGATCAGCGATGAAACCGGAGTGAGTTCCCATCAGGATACCACGGAGGCGATATTCTTCGATCAGTATGTGAGAGACTATGGAAAACCGCGACAAAGTCGCCGGTCGGAGAGGGAGGAGCAGCCGGAAGACGATGTGCCGGATGAACTGGATGTGCATCCCAAGCCCGCTTCCGATGAGGACATCTCCGAGGATGTCAGACCGAGATCACGTTCACGCCCGCACTCAGAACACGAGTTCTATTTCTTGTAACCCAAAAATAAACGTTTATTTTAAGTCGAAAATCAACGCTTAGTTGCCGTAGTTGACCACACCGGTCTTGGCCTCGATCCAGTCCAGGAAGGAGGTGATGCGGGTGAACACACCTGGCCATCCGACCTCGCAGCCGAGGGCGATGCCGAAGGAGGTGGCTCCGATCAGGGTGTTGCTGCCGTCGTTCAGGACCAGAGGGCCGCCGGAGTCGCCGTTGCAGGTGGAAGTGCCGCCGGTGGTCTTGATGCAGATGTTGGTGCTGGCGACCAGGCCGAAGTACCAGGGCGAGCAGCCGCTGTTGTTCATGATGGGGACCTCGGCGTACTGCAGGATGTCAGTGGCGCCGGTAGCAGCTGTGCGGGAAATAATAAAAGGTTTTTTAGAAAACTGGTAAAAAAGATTATAAGATCTAGGGCTAATTATCTACCTAAAATTAAATTTATTAACTACACATTATGAATGATGGAAGTTAAAAGGAACAATGGCTGCAGCTTGTGTTGATAGAATACAAGAAGAGTGTTCGAGAAAGCTAATATGGCAATAATAACAAACAAATAAGATTAGATTTCTTGAAAATCGAATTTTTTGATAATAAATTTGAAGTACTCTTTCCAAAAAGATTTGTTAGATTAAATAAACTTGAGCAAAGGTGAAATATTTTATGGTATTGGATTTTCCCAGTTCTAAATTAATTGAATGAAAGAATTGGTTAAATGTAGTTCTAAAGAGAGGTTATTCAAATTACTATACAATACATTTCGATAATACTTTTCATTTCCATAAGAACATTGGTGAAATTTTAGTGCATTCTATTCTATTTATAATGTTTTATTAATTATTGAATTCAAATATTTTAAAAGGGAACACTAGATAATGAATTTATTTAAGTAATATTGCAAATATATACTTCCCTATATTAGAGCACGCATAAGTACTGACTGGTTGGTTGTATTACGACAACTTAACTTTCTTTGTCTCACTTTTAACACTTAAGTTAGAAAGGTGTAAGGTTTAGAGGTCACTTACAGTCGCTGATCTTGCCCCATCCGGAGGCGATGGCCGACTCTCCACCATAGGTGCTGTAGCTGTTGGACTTCACGGGCAGGTTGGCGGGTTGGATGTACTCTGTTGAATGGGAATAGGTAAAGAAAACTATTTCCAATGAGGATGAGATAACACCCACTGTTGAACTCGATGGGCACTGGGAGCTTGATGAGTGAGATATCGTTGGTGATTGTCTCGGCAATCCAGTTCTCGTGCACGATCACATTCTTGGTCTCCACGAAGACGATCTGCTGGCCCGTCTCCTTGGGGTTGGTGCGATCGTGGGCGCCCAGGTAGACATCCACACCGGTGGTCAGGCTATCCGTGCAATGGGCGGCAGTGACGATCCAGCGGTCACTGATGATGGTGCCTCCGCACCAGGCGGCTCCACCGGCGACGTACAGGAGTAGTCCCACCTGGTAGGGGAACTGGTTGGGCTCGGCCAACTGTCCGCCGGTAATCCTTCCTCCGGGCAGAACCTCTCCACGCACCTTGGGCATCGGGGTCTCGATGTTTAGGTTCTTGACCGACTGCCAGTCGACAGCCTGGGCCCCCAGGATGGCGGCCAATAGCACAACCGTAGCACAGGTGAATTTCATTTTGATCACAACTAAAGTGCTCGCCAAGAGTCGGTTCACTTTTATACGGATTTCGTTGGCCGCGATGGGATCATAATTCATCGACTATCTGTGGTGGATTGCCCAGGCTGGAATAAACCGAGGTGATTTACAATCGTCTATTAACCGCTACTGATTGAGGCGATCCCATCGATATTCTTGGCGATAAGAAGCGCGCGCAAGCGAAAAAGTGTGAATCGACTTGGGCGACTATTGGCAATAAAGCCCAATCATGGAGAGATTAGTTCGTAGTTGGTTTATCTAGGGCACTGACTAATGTGGCAATTGTGTATTCTAGAGGTTTTCATACTCTATTCGATACCTTATCTCATAACTAATACTATTTCTTTTGCTTTTCATCAAATGGCTAGGCAAATCCTTTCTTTAGAAGGTTAAATTTGCAAACAGTTCTTTAGATAGTGGAATCGAAATACCTCCGCTAAGCCTTATCTTCAATACTTGTATTTTGAGCGATAGCACAACCCCAGACATCGATTACCAAAGGGGTTTGAGATTTAATTGCATAATTTATAGAACCCACAGCCATAATTCTCCCAGTTTGAACTGCGATGTGCCTATGATACGGGCAAACTGACCGTACGTGCGAACTTCCTGCCGACTCATTATGATGTCATAGCAGCCGATGCACTTCCCTCAATTCAATTAAAAGGTTCGGTATTTCAAAACAACTTCCAAACTTAATTAAAGCGCAATACTTGTGGAATCAAATGGAAATAAAATAAGTTGAAAACGCTTAAACAAAAGCGGAGAACTAAGCGAAACATGAATCAAAACGGAAATGGATTTAATGCAACAATTTTTGTTTGTTCACTTGAAGGTCGTCTTAAAGTTGAGCGGGCCCAAACAAAAGCCGTCACAACAATCTGGTCGAGACGATGTCTAGGCAGCTACAAGTTCACAAAGAAGAGTCACAGAGTACAGCGTACAGCGTACCGCTTCCCATAGAAGGACAGATGTGCCCAATTAATTAGCACGGCTTTCTAAAAACTTTACAATTTAAATGACACCTGCCAAGCGCTTAGGTACGCACACACTCAATACCGAATTACCCATATGACACTATCTCGTTATAAATCTAATCCATAGCCGTTCTATTAGCTCCCCAACAATCGTTGATAGATACATTTAGCAAAGTTGAAATAAAAAATGGCAAAAGTCCTTGAAACAGGCCCAAAGCAGAGCTAATTAAAACATTAAATGCGTAGCAAACTATTAAATTGTAACAAAAAAAAAATAGCTAAGTGAATTCAAAACAAACAGGGTGTGAAGCTTGTATCACTGGGTCGAACACTTAAATACACTCTGTGGTCTATTGAAAACCATTGAGGTTTATATCTACATATATTGAAATATTTAAAAAGGCAATTTGCATGTATATGATCAAAATGAAGATAATTCTTCAATCTTTAAAATAAATTTTAAAATATATACTTCCCTCTCTATCACAAAATTTGCCACAAAATAATCAACCCTAAACCTTCATTATTTTAAAGGATGTTGATCCAATTTCCACGTATACCCATATGACAAAAATATCTTAATTCAAATGCAAGGCGTACTCCTAATCTTGTTTATGTTACATACACTTAGCAAGAGTATAATAAAAATTTAATTTATAAAGCAAGATTAAACTGGTTTAAAGCGGCAGCGGTCAAGAGAACAATATTTTTGTGTGCAGTTGTAATGAGAATCGAAATTATTTGATATGGGTGCGACTTCATAATTAATATAAATGCATACATGTGCCACCGCCCCCATGCAACATGCGTATCTTAAATTGAACACACGAACATTTGCAAAAAAAGATAAACCAGACATAAACACATCAAAATATTAATTTAACAGTTTAGTCCTGAATAAAATATATGTATCCCTCTAATTGCAAACACGAGTAAATACAAAAAACAAGATAATCACACGCCAATTTAATATGAATGAGTTATAAATTAAGTTGAAGTGTAAATCTCTCAAAAGTGTGTCCTTAAATGGAATTTCATCATTTCTCCTTTTTAAACCAGGAAATCTTAAATAAGTACTACAAATAACGCGAAGATGCTAATAAATAAGATAACCTGCAAATTTGAAAACCGTTCTTCTGGAAAATATAATATACTGTACAAGTTATTTGTTTAATGAAATTTTCGTATTTTTGTGAAATTCTTTTTTATAAATTATTATGTGACTGTTAATAAGTAATCTTACCGAATAGCCCGCAAAAAATGTCATTTAAAAGACTAGTCGTTTGTCCCTCACAAGGAGTTTTTGTTTGAACTAACTTTTCAATTTGGAAAACATGTTTAAGCTATCAATTTGTATGAATACGTTAATAAATAAAACAAACAGAAAAAAGACAATAAAAACCTACTGGAAAAGAAATTTTCCATTGCTAATTGTTTTTTCAAACCATTGTGAAATTCAGATTAAGATTAAAAATAATAATGTAGGAACTGCGTTTTTAATTTTGTAGCCACGTATGTATAAAAATGTAATTAAAGATGTTAATAAAAACAATGAAAAAAACACATCTAGGGAAAAATAATTAATATGAAAAACAATTTTTTTAGGTCAAATATGATTTTGTTATGGAAAAGTACTGCCAAAAAGATATAATATCGAAATATTGTGAAATGACGAAGATGTTAATGAATAAGATCAACTTGAAAATCAGGATGAACATTATCTAGTTTCATTCTGGAAAAGTAATTTTTATTTTTGTAACTTTTCGCAAATTATAAGCTTTTGTAAATATGTTAATAAGTAAGGTAAACCATAAATAAATTCCCCACAATAATAACTGTTTGAGCAAATTAATGTTAATTAAAACAACAATTTTGTTCTCAAAAATTACGTCTAAATTTAAATTTATTGGTTTCGCATTTTTTTTAAATGCTTATTTAATATATAATATTTTTTTATGAAATAATAAATAAACTTTTGATAGCAATACCAATAGAATTGCTAACGAATTGCTGAGCTTAAATAAATTGCTGCCATGTCTTTGAAGGCTTTGGCTCCCCATCTCCCGCAATCTTCACATTACGCTAACTCGTTTTATCAAATGGCTTGGTCCGTTGACGAGTTTAATCCCCTCGCTGCTCAATTTATGAATGGGCCGTGACGTATTTATAAATATAACAAACACATTTTGCTAATTTCCTCAATCGCCCCAAGTGTTTGGTGCATGAATCACGGCCATTCTACCGCTTTTATTAATAAAATCGGGACCCAGCTGGGCCCCAAAAGATGTGCACCGGCACCTTGCGAACTTCTGGGAGTCATGGATTTCGGCAGGCTTAAAAATAAGCAAACAAGAGCTCT